GCCGCCTTCATTGTGTGCAGACCTAGGTGGAGGCTGTGTTGAGAAACAATAGCTTTACATATTGTGACATTTTTAATTTTATGACTTTGCAGCAACCTTTTGGGATCTACCCTCCTGTATTAAAAATATGTAACTGATCATCAAATAAAATCCTGCATCTATTTAAGAAAATATTAACATTAGTGTTAAAACATTAATGTACAGCAGTTAAATGCACACATCGATGGCAAATTAAAATTAAACACCAAATTTCCAAATTCTTTTTATAGAAGGAAATTTCATTATCAATATATGACCCATCCCCTGTAACTACGAAAAGCTCAAAGAACTATTTTTGATTTGGAACGTAGAAGAATTGTTCGAAGAAACGATCAACTGTTTATCTAAAACTGAAGGAATAAATGTCATCCTAGTGACAGAAAGGAACACTGTCATGCTAAAAAGAAAAAATAAATAAACAGTCACATCTCAATATGCAAAAAGCACATGGATCTCGCTCTGTATGCTTTTTAAGTAAAACATCAGGACCATGCAGGTTCATCGGAATGCTACTCCAAGAAACGGAGAGGGTGGGGGGAAATCCTTATCATCACTAGGACTGGGCCTGGGAACACGTCCAAAGGACAGGGGAGTGAATGCATAGCCAAGTTCACTCTCATTCCGTATGGGTGAGCCCACTAAACAGGCAACCATGGAGAACTGTTAAACCCTTCTTCTCCTTTTCCATCCACATAAAGCAATATAAATGGAAAATGGCCTCAGACACGGGGTCTCATCACTGAAAATGCTGCATGTGCACAGAACAGGGAAAGGAGCTTCACAGCGGAGGGAAAAATATACAGGCAAAGGCAAGGTATCCCTAAGAAATACCAAGGCCTGAGGTGGTGGGGGCACACATTGTCAATGCTGGCCATTTTTATCCCTTTCCCATTCTTTAAAGGGTAAGATTTGAGTCAGTAAACTAAAAAATATTTCCAAATGCAGAAAGTAGGTCTTTCAATCACATCAGTATGTATTTTCATGAAGAGAAATTAACAAAAAAAACCCCAAAAACGGTTAGTTACACCCAAATATGAGACTGTGAGTAAAGATTCATTTTACTGGAATGATTTAGGAAAATAATCACAAAGCATAATTGTATGCTATGGATTTTCATTTTCATAGAAGTCACAGAAAGCAATGCCTTTCCTGGAAACACATTTGTCATGAACCATTATAAATAAAGCAGTGTTCACCAATGGGCAGGTAAACAAATACCAGAGCTAGAGCTGAGTTCATTTAAACCAAATGCACACTCTGAAGTGTAACCCAGTGTCCACGGAAAGGGAAAACTGCCACTGGAAAGCACAGCAATTAGTACCCTTTTCAGTACCTGTAACTGAAAAGGAATATTCAGTTGGAACAGTGTCTACTGCTTTGGAAGTGACAATAAGGGTTCTGGACATGCACAGCCCCATAAAATATACAGGTTCCCTAAGCCACTGCTTCCGTCTTCTCGCCTCCCTTCCAAGAAATGAAAGCCATCAGCCAAATTTTCGGCAGCGTGTTTCCTTTGAATTGTACATTTTTTTGGATTGCTAAGCCTGTAAGTTTTCCAACATGAGTTTCAGCTGTCTGGCCTAATATAAGGCTGATTAAGTTATTTTAAATTGAAAACACTAGTGAAAATATGCCTGGAACATTTACAACCGAACTCACTGCCAACGACAACTCTCTTAGTAATCTTTTAAGATGTAATACAACGGACCCACAGGATTCCTAAGGCTGTACACCTTTGTCTTCCATGGAGTTAGAGGGCCACAGCTTTCAGGAGAGCAGCTGGTGGGTTTGAACCACTGACCTTGAAGTTAGCAGCCGAGCACTAACCACGAAGCACTAGGGCTCCACAGGATATTGTATAAGTAGGATCATTTGTAAAACAAGAATCAAATTACTCCTGATGTAATTAAAATGACAGAAGGAAGATGGCTAAGAAATAAGTTACTGAGAGATACAAAAAAGTTAAAAATTCATTTTTAATCTACATATATTTATTAGGTCACTTGAAAAAAAACAACCTCCCCTGAGGCTGCTGATTGCCACAATCCAGAAGCCTACAAATCTAACCGGACCGCCAACTTTGTCCTTTGCTTTACTGAATAAATGCTTAAAACCATCAATGATCAAAAAATTCCCTCAAAAAGTATAAGTTGTTTTTTGTA